CAGCTTCACTCAGAGACTAAATGGCTTCCAGATTAGAGGAAGATCTCTGCTGTCCTGTCTGCCAGGACATCTTTAAAGATCCTGTCATCCTGTCATGTTGCCACAGCTTCTGTAAAGGCTGTCTGCAGAGCTGGTGGACAGAGAGAGGAAGTCAGGAGTGTCCAGTTTGTAAGAAAAGACGTTCTAATGACTGGTTACCACCTAACCAGGCTTTAAAAAGCCTGTGTGAGAGTTTCCTGCAGGAGAGAGATCAGAGAGCTTCAGAGGCTCTCTGCAGTCTGCACTCTGAGAAACTCAAACTCTTCTGTCTGGACCATCAGCAGCCAGTTTGTGACACCTGCAGAGATTCAGAAAAACACAGCAACCACAGATTCAGACCCGTCGATGAAGCTGCACGACAACACAAGAAGGAACTTCAGGAAACTCTGGAGCCCTTAAAGGAGAAGTTAAAGGTTTGTGAACGAGTTAAAGTGAAGTTTGATCAAACAGCAGAACACATGAAGGTCCAGGCCCGACACACAGAGAGGCAGATTAAGGAGCAGTTTAAGAAGCTTCAGCAGTTTCTAGAGGAGGAAGAGGAGGCCAGGATGGCTGCACTGAGGGAGGAAGAGGAGCAGAAGAGTCAGATGATGAAGGAGAAGATGGAGGCTCTGAGCAGAGAGATAGCAGCTCTTTCAGCCACAGTCAGAGCCACAGAGGAGGAGCTGAGAGCTGAAGATGTCTCATTCCTGCTCAACTACAAGGCTGCAGTGGAAAGAGTCCAGCAGCGCCCCCTGCTGGATGATCCACAGCTGCCCTCAGGAGCTCTGATAGACCAGGCCAAACACCTGGGCAACCTGACCTTCAACATCTGGAACAAGATGAAGGACATGGTCTCCTACGCTCCTCTGATCCTGGACCCAAACACCGCTGGTCCAGGATTCTTCCTGTCTGAAGATCTGACCAGTGTGAACGAGGAGAGGAACAACGGCTTCCTGACAATCCAGAGAGGTTTGATGAATACTTCTCTGTCCTGGGCTCTGAGGGCTTTAACTCAGGGACTCACAGCTGGGATGTCGAGGTTGGAGACAGTAGATACTGGGAACTGGGTGTGTTAGCAGAGTCTGTCCTGAGGAAGGGAGACATACTGTCTGGATTATTGACAATAATGTTCAATAGAGGTAAATACTCAGCAGAATCACCACCAGCTCCACCCACTGATCTCAGTAAGCAGAAGAAGAAGCCCCAGAGGATCAGAGTGAATCTGGACTGGAACAGAGGAAAGCTGTCGTTCTCTGATCCTGACACTAACACACACATACACACCTTCACACACACTTTCACTGACAGGATGTTTCCATTTGTTAGCACTTTGGATTATCGCCCACTGAAGGTTTTACCAGCGAAGGTCTGTGTGACTGTAGAACAGAAACAGAAAGACTGTAGAACAGCAGGTGGGTTTCGGTGGTGGTTGGGGTCTGTGTGACTCAGTGGTTCTACGATTGGATCATTGATTACTTGGTTGAAAGTGAATTTTCTGTGTTGATCCTGATCGATTTGTTTATAGATGTGGTGTTTGTAGGTGTGAAGTATTCACATTATCTGTCGTGTGTTTCTGTGCTGCTGCACTCAGTAGATTAAAAACTCTACTGAAAAATGTACGTGAAGTTGTGGAAAAGTCTTGGACTTGAACAGTAAACTAAGTTTGAGAAGCTTTTGAAAAAAATAATTAAACATGAAGAGTAAAATATCTCAAGTTTGTTTGAAGGACTTATTTTTCGTTATTGTCGTCCTCTCTGATCACTGATGTATTTCTGCTATTTCTAATCTTTGAATTCATAAGTAAATTCATGTTGATGCGTGTTTTGAGTGATGGTAATTATTAAGTGCTTTGTTGTTAAAATGAAATGCACTGCAGAATGTTCTGTTAGAGTTAAAGTTTAAACCTGTTTTATCTTAACGTAGGTGGTTTATTATCAGTCGGGAGAGAAAACCAGAACAAACTCCATTGAAAGTTGTTCATATTATTAGAATATAACGGGCTTGTGCAAGTTTGGACAGAAGGAAGGACCTTTTTTACTGTGTTTGTGATAAAATAAGGTTTAGAGGGAGATTAAACGGCTCTGGAGAAGTGAGTCATTGTAGGTTTGCACCCTGATAAATATCACACATGTAGGAAACATATAGAGATATATTTACAGTATATATAAAATTTTTGCACTACTCATGTATTTTCTTAAATTCTCTGTTTTCTCTTTTACACGTGTGATTTTCTTTTATGCTGTTTGAGCATGGCTGGAACTTGAGAACAAGAATTTAATTTGCTGTAATTGTTGTGCATGCGATAAATGAAGAACTTAAGGGAGCGTTATTTAATTTTTATTAGTAATAAAAACTGTAAGTCTTTGAAAATGATTTATTTGATGTGAATAGTTTCAGTCGAGTTTTAAGATATAATATTTAATCATAGAATTTATGTTTGCTTAGAAAAAAATGATTGTAATAATAATGCCAATATAATAATGTTTAAACATTTTGGAATGTGTTGGTTTTGTAAGTTGGTCGTTATTTTCAAATGGACAACACAATAATTATGTCTAATAACAGCACATTTTGTGGATATTTTTCTATGCTGCCCTACCATTGAGAGGCAAATAGTCTTTTTCATCTAGTCCTGTATCTCCATATGATGCTACATGTGTTACTCTCTGTTCTTAGTTAAGCAGAGTGGAGGCAAAACAAAACAACAACAAATAAAACTGCAATGTGCAAATTCTCATCATTCACTACAGACATCTTTCTTAACTTAAACACTGGAGTTTCTGCTCATCAGTTTATTCATTTCATAAAGTTTTACATACCACATGGTGGAAATGTTTTTTAGTCACATCCTTGAAGTGAGAGGCTGGCACTCTACTGACTGAGCTAACCAACCACTCTAACAGTTGATTTTAAATTATCTGGCCCGGCATCTAGTGGCTTAAAAAAGCGGCCCAATGCCAAAGTTATTTGCCGACCCCTGTCATATTACATTATAAGATAACTTGGGTGTGAAAACATTTCTTAAGAGCGACTCTCACCGCCTCTTTTGATCCCTAAACTACAATTAATCCTGACTTCCCAAAACAATTTACAACATGACTCTTCTCTGATGAATTTGGTCTTACCTTAGCTAAGTCAGCTAAGGTTACACAAAGGGTTAGATTAGTATATAATTTACTGAAATCCCTACAACAAATACAAGATCAATACAAAACAGAATACTCCCAGAGGTATTTGGTGTGTATAATTTCATCTTTTTGGAAAGGAGGGAGGTTAAGTGTGTAATATTCAAAACAAAAGCACTATGTTATTAAACATGAATATAGCATTACTTATTGAATAATTTCTTAAATTCCCAAAACATTAACACAGTTTTGGTGACATGTTATTACAACATTGGCCAAAATATTACAATACTGGGAAATTATAACATTATTGGGTTCTGTAAAAATAAGTTTCTTTGCAGATGATGCGGTTCTGTTGGCTTTTTTGAGGTCTTGTTCTTAAGTGATGGAAAAATGGAGCGTGAGATGGACAGGCGGGTTGGTGCAGCGTCAGCAGTAATGTAGATATTGTATCAGACCGTTGTGCTGAGCCGGAAGGCAAAGCTTTTAATTTACCAGTCGATCTATGGTCCAACCCCTACCTGTGGTCAAGAGCTGTGGGCAGTAACCAAAAGAAGATTGTGGATCCAAGAAACAGAAATGAGTGTCCTTTGTAGGGTACAGGGCTTAGCCTTAGAGATGGGGTGAAGAGTTCGGACATCTGGAGGGAGCTCAGAGTAGATCCACTGCTTCTTCGTGTCGAAAGGAGTCGGCTGTGGTGGTTCTAGCTAGGGATGCACCAAAATGAAAATTCTCGGCCGAAGCCGAATATAATGAAAAACTTTCCCAAAAACAGAACAAGGTTTTTCACGTTTTTCATTTATTTTGCCAATTTTATTTTATTTTTTACCATTGCATAAATTAAATAATCAAAATGTGCTTTTTACTCAGTGATTCCCACAGCATAAAGAGATCATGCAACCAAGTGTGAGAGTTAACTCGGTTCATAAAGACTGGGGCTATTAATATGTTGATTGTGTGTAAGCTTTACTTAAACTGGGACTGATAGGGTCAAACTATAGACTAAAAATATGGATGTAGTCTCTCTGACATCAGCCATATGTTCCTGGAGAGCCGTTGTGAAGGTCAATGTGGGCGGGGCCGGCCGTCGCTATCTTGGCAGTGCGTCACTTGGCCTAACTCCCTGATGACCTAAAATTACAACAACACAGATGACTATGACAACATCCAGAGAAGCCTGGGATGCCGCCCTTCTGGATCCTTCTCCGTGTATCCTCTAAACGTTCCTTAGAGTTCATCAGTCTCCTGGATCTTGCTTCACCCAGTGAAGTCGGGTTTTGGTAAACTTGTAGGGTTCCTTTATGAACTGAGCTCACTTGGCCTTCTGATTCCTGAAGACCTTTCTGCCCTTCCACTGGTCAGATATTTTATGCATTCCTCAGCATTTGCTCTTCTGCTTATCTGGCATCTCAATTTCTCTTCTCAGATGCACGATCCCTCTCTCCATTCTATTGGGGCTGTTTTCCAGGTGTTCCACTTCTGCTCCTCTGTGCTCAAGGGTTCTCTGGCTAAATTAAAGACAATTGTCGTCCTGTCAAGTTTCCTCTCATCTCCAAAACTATGGATTATGGAAATGAGTAGTGCGTCTCAGGCACAGATTGAATGTCGATACCAGGTGTGAATGTGGCCAGAGGTTCAGGTTGATCATAATTCTTGTGTGAATGACTACAAAACCAAGACAGAGGTACTGTGCAGTATCTAACTGGTACAACATGTGTGTGTTATCTTAACAAATGATCATCAGTTTGGAATGAAGCATAACCTGACAAACTGCAATGGTGAAGTTCCGCCTCTCAGTTGAATCACTTGAGACAAACCAGGAAACAGGTTATTATTCTTCCTCATTGAAACGAGACACATTGAGAGTCAGACAAAACCACCACTTCCACTGAGAGAGGACAGCTACATGAGGGATTACTGGGAATACTGGTATTCTGGGATATGACCACTTCTACATGCTGCCACAAACTGAGTTTGACAAGAACAAAGAGAAGTGAAGGTAACTTTCAGGAACGTTACTGAAGGACGGAGTGGCTGACTGTTTCCTGTCGGAGCGTCTGCTGCTGTGACTTCAGCTTCACTCAGAGACTAAATGGCTTCCAGATTAGAGGACGATCTCTGCTGTCCTGTCTGCCAGGACATCTTTAAAGATCCTGTCATCCTGTCATGTAGCCACAGCTTCTGTAAAGGCTGTCTGCAGAGCTGGTGGACAGAGAGAGGAAGTCAGGAGTGTCCAGTTTGTAAGAGGAGACATTCAAAGGACGGACTGCCTCCTAACCGGGCGTTAAAGAACCTGTGTGAGAGTTTCCTGCAGGAGAGAGATCAGAGAGCTTCAGAGGCTCTCTGCAGTCTGCACTCTGAGAAACTCAAACTCTTCTGTCTGGACCATCAGCAGCCAGTGTGTGTCGTCTGCAGAGATTCAGAAAAACACAGCAACCACAGATTCAGACCCGTCGATGAAGCTGCACGACAACACAAGAAGGAACTTCAGGAAACTCTGGAGCCCTTAAAGGAGAAGTTAAAGGTTTGTAAACAAGTTAAAGTGAAGTTTGATCAAACAGCAGAACACATGAAGGTCCAGGCCCGACACACAGAGAGGCAGATTAAGGAGCAGTTTAAGAAGCTTCAGCAGTTTCTAGAAGATGAACAGGTGGTCAGGTTGGTGGCACTATGGGAGGAAGAGGAGCAGAAGAGTCAGATGATGAAGGAGAAGATGGAGGCTCTGAGCAGAGAGATAGCAGCTCTTTCAGACACAGTCAGAGCCACAGAGGAGGAGCTGAGAGCTGAAGACGTCTCATTCCTGCTCAGCTACAAGGCTGCAGTGGAAAGAGTCCAGCAGCGCCCCCTGCTGGATGATCCACAGCTGCCCTCAGGAGCTCTGATAGACCAGGCCAAACACCTGGGCAACCTGACCTTCAACATCTGGAACAAGATGAAGGACATGGTCTCCTACACTCCTCTCATTCTGGACCCAAACACTGCTTTTCCATATCTCACCCTGTCTGAAGATCTGACCAGTGTGAGACGAGGAGAGGAACTAGAGCTTCCTGACAATCCAGAGAGGTTTGTATACAGCTGGTCTGTCCTGGGCTCTGAGGGCTTTAACTCAGGGACTCACAGCTGGGATGTCGAGGTTGGAGACAGTACAGACTGGATACTGGGTGTGTTAGCAGAGTCTGTCCAGAGGAAGAGTGACATACTGTCTGGATTATGGAGTATGTGGTCGTATAACAGTGAATACTCAGCAGTATCCCCTTCAGCTCCATCCACTGATCTCAGAGTGCAGAAGAAGCTCCAGAGGATCAGAGTGAATCTGGACTGGAACAGAGGAAAGCTGTCGTTCTCTGATCCTGACACTAACACACACATACACACCTTCACACACACTTTCACTGACAGGATGTTTCCATTTGTTAGCACTTTGGATTATCGCCCACTGAAGGTTTTACCAGTGAAGGTCTGTGTGACTGTAGAACAGAAACAGAAGGTGGGTTTGAGACCCTGTGGTTTACGTTTGGATCATTGATTATATATTTAAAGTGAATTTTCTGTGTATTAGATCGGCAGCTAAAACTTGAATGACTTGATTGATTTGTTTATAGAACTGAAGTTGACAGATGTGAGGCTTTTACATTGTCAACCGTCATGTGTTTCTGTGCTGCTGCACTCAGTAGATTAAAACTTCTCATCTCAGGGCTTCCAATACCAACGCTTTCAGACAGAGTGACAAAGCGTAGTTATTTGATGCTAAAGGTAGGCTACCCTTTAGCATCTGTGTGAGTCGGCCCTTGATGCGTCTCATGCAGAACGGAAGTGCTACCATAACCATCGCCATAAAAGCGTCGGTAATGACGCGCTGAGATGAGAATGCGTTGATATTTTCCTAAACCTAACCAAACTGCGACGTTTCACAATGTTTCTAACCAGATGTTGCATGTTTAGTCTTGCTTAATTGATTGTGGAGGCCTACATGTACAACAGCGAGGCTTAAAATGTGACGACGAGGGGTCTTGACAAAGCGTGACGCCCTAGGAAATTGATTGAAAAACAAAATAGATGAAGAGTGACAGGCATGTATCTCATTAGTCTGTTTGCTATTTCTATTATTTGAATCCATACGTGGCTTAATGTTATGTGTATTATTGTATGCTGATGTGTATTTTGTGTCATGGGTACTATTGGTTATTTCGTTGTTTAAATGGTCTCCGTAAAATAAATAAATTTGTCAGCAGTATAGTTCCAGTTTAGAGTTTAAAGTTTCAACCTTTGTTATTTGGAACAAATGTGGTGGTTTATTATCAGAAAACCAGATTGACTAACTTCAGTAAAAGTGGCACATGTGACGCTGGGACATTTGTATCATGTGTGGACAGAAGAAAAGACCTTTTTCACTGTGTTTGTAATAAATTAAGTTTTAGAGGGAGATTAAATAGCTCTGGAGAAGTGAGTCATTTGAGATTAACACCCTGATAAATATCTCACATGTAGAACAGATGGAGTATTTACAGTATATATTAGGGCTCCGTATTGATAAGGACCTCACGATAAGATTATATCACGATATATATATTACGATGTCATACATATTGCGATGCACTGCAATATTCACACAAATGATTCACTGAAATCTTTTAAAAATTGAGCTGAAAATACAATTTGCTAGTCTATTAATTAATTAATCTGCACATCACATAATATTGATAACTCATCCTGTTAAGTGAGTTCGCAAGTTTGTTGTTTTCCCTGAATACTTTACTGTAGTATATCAAAACAAGCAAATGGCATTTGTTTTATCTAAATCATTACTCCCTGTTATGTTTTTAAACTAGGTCAAAGGTCAGCTTTGAAATATGAAGTCACTGCGTTAATAATTTCTGCGTTTGAAGTATTGGCAGCCAGCCCACAGTGACATTTTAAATCAGTTAAAAACTTGAACAATGAATTGATGATTGAACTATATTCTTAATTTCATATATCCATTCCCTGTCTTATAATATAAAAATCACAGTGTTCAGGTGTATCGTTTTTTTTTTGTACAGCAGTTGTGTACTGTATATATTTATTTCCTACATTTTTACTTTTGCAATATTAAAGTCTTTGTCTTACATTCTCTTTTTCTTATTTACGTGTGTGACTTTCTTTGTTTGAGTCTGTTTGATTCTCTTCACTGTAAATATGCATATGACAAATAAAGAACTTTAAAGTAGTGTTGTTTGTTTTATAACAAAGTATTTGAAAATGGAGATTTATTTGATGTGAATAGATGTATAATAGATTATAATTTAGGTTTGCAAGCTACAAAATGCATTTTTATTAGAATTATGAAGGTGTTAAATATGATAAGCTAATCAGTGATGATTGAACTGAATACAAGTATGAGCTCATAATCTTTACACAACACAGATAAAAACTGATAAATGGCAAAGATTTACTCAAATAAAACATGTCACTGATCTTTCTAACTTCATGGGGGTCAAAGGTCAACTTATTTCACTACGGCATCACATCTGTATTCAGTGAACTGAACTTCATTTCCCATCAGTGTGTAAAGAGACGTTACCACCAAGCGTGAGAGTTAACTCTGTACATAAGGATCTGGTCTTTTGATTTGTTGATTGACAGCGACGTAGACCAGTTGGTTTTGGACTGAGAGGATCAAACCTGCTGTTTGTGTGTGTTTCAGATGTTAAAGGTCCTCCGGCTCACCGGTTCTCCTGCGGTCAGAGTCCGTACACCGACAGCGGAGCCTGGGAGAGGAAGTTCTGCATCCTGACAGACAGCCAGCTCATCCTGCTCAACAAGGACGAGGAGGTCAGAACTCTCTGCTGTTACAGATGCTTCACACACAAATCACACACCTGAAAACGCTCTCATTATATCCAAGGTGGCTTCAAATCAAGGGCAACTGGACTCGGTTGAAGATCCTTTGAGACTTTCATATGAGAGTCGTCTGACTGGCAGGGAGTCCCAGCTATTTAACCTCTGCGGGGTCGTTGTCAAGGTGATGGATGCCACCTGGTTCATTAGTCAAGTCAATTTATTTATAAAGCACATTTAAAAAAACAACCAATGCAAGTTTTGCATTTTAAAATGGCCGGATAAGATAATCATACAGCAATAAATAGAAAGGTGTCCCTACACTGACAGCCAGAGAACAACAGTACGTTTCGAGACCAGACTTAAAGATCTTGGTGGTGAGGGATCACCGAATGATCATTGCAAGTTTGTTCCACGGTCTTGGAGCCACAACCGAAAATGCAGGATCACCCTTTGATTTCCATGATGGTCGCTGGAGTCTGCAGGACCGTTGCAGGTTTTGTCACAGGGCCAATGTGAGTGTTTGTTCAAGAAGAGATAAAAGGACAGCATTGTAGGGGGGGGGGTAAAGCCTGATTTATACTTCTGCGTCGAGTCTACGCCGTAAACTACACACTTACGCTAATATCTGGTTTAGCACTTAAATGGGGATGAAATGATAACCGTGCAACTCTCCTAGACTTTACAAATGTTATCGACCAAATGGATCATATTCTTTCAAATCGACCAGTCACAGTTCTTCCGGCTCTGTTGCTGCGACATATAGATACAGTTTTTGGGAGGTTGGGCTACATGGGCTACGTGTAGGCCGCGACGTTAACTTGATGCATAAGTATAAAGTATCTCAGGCCTCCTCCCCCATTGACAGATGGTTTCTCTACTCAGGTGTGAATTCTTTATTCATTCACCGCTCTTTCAAACCGTCTGTCCTCCCCGTCCACAATATGTACATAGTTGCCTTCGACAGAGTCTCTTATCCTTTAAATGTAAGTAAACGGCCGAGTCTTGATTTAAGTCAGGTCACCACTTTCCTGGAGACTGAACAAACTCTTAGATTCAGCCGTTCAGACTTGGCCTCAGTTGACCCTTCATAGGTTAAACAGCTCAGAACTAAAGAAGCCTCTTGGATGAGAGGCGAAACGTCATCAAGTATCTTCTGCCAAGTCCAGTTGCCCTCGACTTGAACCTCCCTTGGATAACTCGGACCTGGATGGCTGAATGGTTTACTGGTGAAATCTGGAAACATACATTACACAAAGTTTTCTTTCTCGTGATTTTGCAGTGACGCAGTATGTGAGAATAATATCACACATTCATCCTGAACTACTACAGCAACAGAAACTAACAACAACAGAAACTAACAGCCAACAATGGGAACTTTTTGATACTTTTTTCTCCTGAAAATTGTAAAACACTCAATCGCAGACTTTGTATTTTATTGGAGAAAATACCTCACAAACTCATGTGTGTGAAACAAAGTACCTTTCCACCTCTGATAGTGAAAAATAAAGTGTACCAGTACACAGGGAAGTTCTCTGTACCAGTACACAGTGAAGTTCTCTGTACCAGTCCACAGTGAAGTTCTCTGTACCAGTACACAGTGAAGTTCTCTGTACCAGTACACAGTGAAGTTCTCTGTACCAGTACACAGTGAAGTTCTCTGTACCAGTACACAGTGAAGTTCTCTGTACCAGTACACAGTGAAGTTCTCTGTACCAGTACACAGGGAAGTTCTCTGTACCAGTACACAGCCCAGTCTGCAAAGTGTTAAATAATAAATACTTCAGACAGACTCAGATGTGTTTCTGTTCATACTGCATTTAAACTACAATTTATACTTCATTTGTTTCCTCCCCCCTCAGGCTGCAGGTGAGGCTCAGGAGAGCCCCACGAACTCGTCCAAGGGCCGGAGTCTCCGCAGGACCGTCAGCGTCCCCTCAGAGGGACAGTTCCCAGACTACCCAGCAGAGGGCGCCGCCATGTTAGGTAAGGACTAGTGAGGTGGGAGGGAGCCATGACAACAAGCTGTGAGCTGCTGCACGCTGAAACCAGGAAGTAAAGATTAGAGCTCAACGGAGCTCCGTAACGTTTCATTATGTAACACCGAGGCCAAACCCAGCAGGGATTACAGCGAGAACAAAACAGCGGACGTGATGATGTTCAGAGGTCATGACGTGATGAGTTTTCTGTGTGCGTGTGTGTGTGTGTGTGTGCATAAAATAAATAAAAAAACCTATAAGTGTACAGCTGAGGATTAAATCACTCGCTGGATTTAGTTTCACTACATGGAATTCCAGGTGTATTCCAGGCAGAGGATGTCACTTTATGGAATTTCACAGATGTTTCCTGGAATAAAAAACCAAATCTGTTGTTTCACATTTTGTCTGCGTGAGAACAGAACGGTCTCTTATAGTTTCTGTATCACTGATATTTAAAGCCGTGCTCTGGTGATTTCACTGCCAAAAGATTGTTGTACTTGTGAGAGTGGAAATAGATATCCTGACTTTTAATCTGTAGTGTCAAACTCCCAAAACACTGAGCCTACAGTTCCCACAATGCAACTGGATAGTGCATTCTGTTGGAGCCTCCCTGCCTGGTAAACAGCCACGTCTTTCAATCTCCAGTTTGTAAAGGGCCACAATACTTCCTACTTAATACTGCATTTATGCTTACATTTATACTGCATTTATGCTTACATTTATACTGCATTTATACTTGCATTTATACTGCATTTACACAGTATTTATACTGCATTTACACAGTATTTATACTGCATTTATACTTGCATTTATACTGCATTTACACAGTATTTATACTGCATTTACACAGTATTTATACTGCATTTACACAGTATTTATACTGCATTTATACTTGCATTTATACTGCATTTACACAGTATTTATACTGCTTTTACACAGTATTTATACTGCATTTATGCTTACATTTATACTGCATTTATACTTGCATTTATACTGCATTTACACAGTATTTATACTTACATTTATACTGCATTTACACAGTATTTATACTGCATTTATACTGCATTTACACAGCATTTATACTGCATTTATACTTGCATTTATACTGCATTTACACAGTATTTATACTGCATTTATACTTGCATTTATACTGCATTTACACAGTATTTATACTGCATTTGTACTTGCATTTATACTGCATTTACACAGTATTTATACTGCATTTACACAGTATTTATATTGCATTTATACTGCATTTACACAGTATTTATACTGCATTTATACTGCATTTATACTTGCATTTATACTGCATTTACACAGTATTTATACTGCATTTATGCTTACATTTATACTGCATTTATACTTGCATTTATACTGCATTTACACAGTATTTATACTGCATTTATGCTTACATTTATACTGCATTTATACTTGCATTTATACTGCATTTACACAGTATTTATACTTACATTTATACTGCATTTACACAGTATTTATACTGCATTTATACTGCATTTACACAGTATTTATACTGCATTTATACTGCATTTACACAGCATTTATACTTACATTTATACTGCATTTACACAGTATTTATACTTACATTTATACTGCATTTACACAGTATTTATACTGCATTTATACTGCATTTACACAGCATTTATACTGCATTTATACTTGCATTTATACTGCATTTACACAGTATTTATACTGCATTTATACTTGCATTTATACTGCATTTACACAGTATTTATACTGCATTTACACAGTATTTATATTGCATTTATACTGCATTTATACTTGCATTTATACTGCATTTACACAGTATTTATACTGCATTTATACTTGCATTTATACTTGCATTTATACTGCATTTATACTGCATTTACACAGTATTTATACTGCATTTATACTGCATTTATACTTACATTTATACTTGCATTTATACTGCATTTACACAGTATTTATACTGCATTTACACAGTATTTATACTGCATTTATACTTGCATTTATACTTGCATTTATACTGCATTTATACTGCATTTACACAGTATTTATACTGCATTTATACTGCATTTATACTTGCATTTATACTGCATTTATACTGCATTTACACAGTATTTATACTGCATTTACTGCATTTATACTTACATTTATACTTGCATTTATACTGCATTTACACAGTATTTATACTGCATTTATACTGCATTTATACTTGCATTTATACTGCATTTACACAGTATTTATACTGCATTTATGCTTACATTTATACTGCATTTATACTTGCATTTATACTGCATTTACACAGTATTTATACTGCATTTATGCTTACATTTATACTGCATTTATACTTGCATTTATACTGCATTTACACAGTATTTATACTTACATTTATACTGCATTTACACAGTATTTATACTGCATTTATACTGCATTTACACAGTATTTATACTGCATTTATACTGCATTTACACAGCATTTATACTTACATTTATACTGCATTTACACAGTATTTATACTTACATTTATACTGCATTTACACAGTATTTATACTGCATTTATACTGCATTTACACA